GCCGTCCCTCTCACAATATCTTGGCCCCAAAAACCCAAACCTGAGTCAAATGACTGGATACACAGTGATGTCGCTCCAAAGGCAGCCTGGCAGCCGGTAATGATTCAAAACCACCACCGCTGCTGCTGCTGTCACCACCATTGTGCTCCTCTTCCTCTTTTTCCCATCTACCCCTTATCCCCCTGTGTTCATAGACAACAGTGTGCATTGACAGAAGGGGGTCAGGTATATATAGTGCAATAGTTCCCAACCTTCGATCTCCAGATATTCTTGTGACTAAAACTCCCGAAAGGCTTGACCACTAGCTGTGCTGGCCAAGATTTCTGGGAGTTGTAGTCCAAGAACATGTGGCTTACCCAAGGTTGGAAACCATTGGTCCAATGACTATGCCAGCACCCCAAGCATTCTAATTCCTGAAGCAAGTGCCTCCCTCCAGCTAAAAGCCTGATCAGATCCTGTTTCTTCAGCTGTACATGCAGATATGTTTCAAACTTGTTAGCATCTTAGTACCTTCTTAGTCTTGGTACTAAGGGCTGAATCTTCAGGCCCCAAGATATGTTCAGCTTTCAGCGGCACCACAGCATTGTCTTCCAAAATATGTATTATATTGAAAATTACTCTAAATTCAAATTTCAGTGAGAAATAAACCCAAATTATTATTTACAGGCCCATAATAATATGAGGCCTAAAGGGGCAGCCTACCTATCTTCTGCATAAATTCATCACTATTTCTTACCTTCCTTGTACCTTATTCAAACTGTGCTGTGTTTTAGGCACAGTGGATTCAACCGTTGATCACCACAACAAGATCTCTGCTCAAGGGGGGGGGGGCTGAATAAGCCACATTTTACATGTTATAGGTTCAACAGCTGCAAGTGCTTTGTCCAGATCAAGAGGTCATAAAAATGAAACCATCCCCACAAATCTTGGCAGGATGGTGAAGTAGAAAATTTCATGTGGCACTGGGGTGACAGCATCATTCAAATAGCTATGGATGCAAGCAATTCTGTCCTCAAAGGGCCTAACAAAAATGGCCACCGCCTAAGAAGCTTCTAGCAGGCTTCCCTTTTACTGGAGAAGGTATCAACAACATATCTTGGGCCACTGGGAATAGCTACTTAAGATGGCTGCTTAAGAATGACAGAAGGAATAAGCCTCCACTGCCACCATCAGTTGTGTTCACTGATATTTAAGTCTGATAGACTCCACCTCGAGTCTTTTGCCACTTCTGATGGCACTGCACATGACTTTCCTTGTGGTTGTGAATTTCTATAGTGCATTTGTATAGTATAGTCCAGCAGTCCCCAAACATTTTTGGGGACTGGACCAATTGGGGGGGATGGGCTCCATGCACCGGGGGCACCCCCGCACTCATGGAGGGGCGTGTCACACTCGCGGGTGGGTGAGTTGTGCTTGCAGAGGCCCGCGAGCATGACCCATCCACCCACAAGCACAACACGCCTCTCCGCGAGCGTGACATGTCAACCCGCAAGTGTGACATGCCCACCGTGTGTGGGGGGGGCAGAGATCCATGTCCACCAGCCCAGTTCAAGGAAGCCCACGAACTTGCACCAGGCCGGGGATTGGGGACCCCTGGTATAGTCAGTAACACTGGTTTGTACAAAACATGCCAAATCAAAGTTGATCTTCACACTGATAATCCCACTATGTTCTCAAACTCATTTTCTTCTCTAATGTTTCATTCCCCAGAGCACACTAGGAAATGAGGCTCCACAGTTCCCCCCCCCTCCCAAAAGCTCTGCATCATTAGAGGTCACACTAGAGACATCTTTTGTTAATGGCCTGCCATGTCTTCCCCTTCTGTGTGTAAAGAAACCAAGGACTTGGTAGGATGGCCAGCTCTGGCCACCAGAAGATTCCCCAGAACATTTGATTGAATACCGTATTTTTTCCGTGTATAAGACGCCCCCATGTATAAAACACTCCACTTTTCTAATCAAAATTAAGAAATCTTAAGTGGGGCTTAGCAAGTGTAGGGGGAAAGGGATCAAAGCACTGCAGGATCGCTTTGATCCCTGCTTTCCTCTCCACTTGTTTCTGTTCTCTCCTCAGCTTACTTCTGTGTATAAGACAACCCTCAATTTTTAGTCTAAAGATTTTAGACAAAAGTATAGTCTTATACATGGAAAATACAGTAAATTAGTCACCTCAGTATCATCTCTGTGTGTGAGACACCTGAATACAATAGTCCTAATTCCACAAAATTAGGATCCTAGCTAAGGTTGCCTCATGTTTAACACACCTGGGCCATACATTTACTCTGGTTCTCAGCTTTCATTTGGCCATGATTCAGGTTTGCTAACTAGGCCACAATGCAATACTGAACAAAACATGATCCTAATCCCTTTCTAACCTTCTTCCCATCTTCAGATTGGGGCAACTGCTGAAATTAATGCCTTGGTGTGAAAACTTATATTATCTCAGGCATTCTCTTACTAAAATTGGCCGATGGAGCAACGGCCAAAGCTTTCGCTTTCAAAACGTTTTTCCTTTCTGAGGATCATCACAAAAAGCAGCCCAACCAGACCTGATAGCCTGTGACAAAACTGCATGGTTTCAAAATTAGAAGCAAGCACATTAGGGTCCTCTAGGGACCCCTCTAGGTGGACCACAACTCCCAGAAGCCTTAGTAAGTCTAGTCAATGGTAATGGAGGATGGGAATTGCAGTGCACCACCACCTGAGAGGCCACAGGTTCCCACTTCTCAGGAGTTATGGGCTAGGACAAATTCTGCCTATGCTTTTTACCCTAGAGTTGCTTCTCCGGATATTTTTTTTCTCCTTGGATGTGTCTGGAAGAAAACATAGCAGGAGAAAAACCATTGATGAGAAATCATTTGTGGCGGGATAGCACAGATAGGGGACAAGCTGATATGCTCCTTTCACATTCTGTGCTGGAAACCATTGTCTTCAGGTTCACACACTTAAGGACTGGTTTTACCAGTGCCAACCCACCCATCCCTGAGTTTCTATGGCCAAGAGGAGATTCTAACCCAGGTCTCCTAAATCCTAGTCCATCACCCTGTCCACTACACCACAATGGGTACCCATTTTCCAATAGGCACATATTAATTGTGTGCAGTTTCATGCATATTTTTCCAATGCATTTTTTAAAGGTGGTGTTGATCCATGTAGAATGAATCCCTAAGTTTAGAAATATCTCATGATGACATTTGGGTCCACCAATTGGGTAAAGATTGGTAAAAACAGTTGGAAATGAATTTCTCATTTATTTTTAATCATAACTAGCAGGGACATTATGTAAATTATGCAAAACACACAATGACATGCATGTTCTTCATCATGGGTCTTCTAACATACTGGGGTTTTTTTTACAAGAGAATTTGCTCTGATTTTATTTTAAGCTTCGCAGTCCTTCTGAGATAAATGGCCAGTTCCATTTTTACAGTGTCAGTTTCCCTCCCTACATCTTACAAGGCTGGATTTAATACTGGAGCCACTCTGATGTCAGAGGAATTCAATTTTGCAAAACTGATGGCATGGGTGGATTTCCTTGAGGGAAGCAACCCATCTTTCCCATTTCCTCATGGATGATTAAGCAGTTGCTAGGCATCAAGTGACAAGATGAGGATGAAGAACTAGCCCATCATTTAGCAGTCTCAGCAGATGGTGAATCATCATGGAGAGAGCAGCATCACTATCCTATCTCAGGGAAGCTTTTACCTGCTTATGCACAAAACTCAAGCCCATACCTGTGGTACTGCTGCATTCTTAGGGACTACAACAGAGGCAGGGAAGTCTTAGGGGTCGTTGAACTAAAATGCCCATGGCTTGTGACCGTTTGTGATACAGTCTTCCAATAAACAAAGTTTTATTTGATGTGCTGGCTTACATGTGTGGTGCTTATGTGCGTATGGAGAGAGAATGGGTGTGTGACTTGCTTAGTGATTTATCATTAGTATTTTAATTGTGAAGTTTAAAGTTATTTAGTTTTAACCATCTTATAATAGTGATATATGGAAGTGAGAGCTGGACCATAAAGAAGGCTGACCGCCGAAGAATTGATGCTTTTGAATTGTGGTGCTGGAGGAGACTCTTGAGAGTCCCCTTGACTGCAAAGAGAACAAATCTATCGATTCTAAAGGAAATCAAGCCTGAGTGCTCACTGGAAGGACAGATCCTGAAGCTGAGGCTCCAGTACTTTGGCCATCTCATGAGAAGAGAAGACTCCCTGGAAAAGACCCTGATGTTGGGAAAGTGTGAGGGCAAGAGGAGAAGGGGATGACAGAGGACGAGATGGCTGGACAGTGTCATCGAAGCAACCAACATGAATTTGACCCAACTCTGGGAGGCAGTGGAGGACAGGAGGGCCTGGCGTGCTCTGGTCCAAGGGGTCACGAAGAGTTGGACATGACTAAATGACTAAACAACAAAATCTTTTAATACTATATAAAGAATTAAATTCAATTTTAAGATATAGTTTTTATTTTAAAAAATTCTATTGTAAGCGTGGAAGCCAGTACGATATAGTGGATAGAGTGATGAATGAGGACTCAGGAGACCTGGATTGGAAACCCCACTTGGCCATAAAAACTTGGTGAGGGATAGCATTAATAAATAATAATAATGTGCTGTCAAGTCAATTCTGACTTATGGCAAGCCTTTTCAGGTTTCCTAGGTAGAGACTACCCAGAAGTAGTCTACTATTACTTTCTTCAGTTGGCATTCTGGGACTATGCAGCTTGCCCAAGGTCACACAGGCTGGCTCTGGTTCACAGGAGGCACAGTGGGGAATCAAAGGGGACGACAGAGGACAAGATTGATCGACAGTGTCATCGAAGCAACCAACATGAATTTGTCCAAACTGGGAGGCAGTGGAAGACAGGAGGGCCTGGTGTGCTCTGGTCCATGGGGTTACAAAGAGTCGGACAAGACTTAAGGACTTAACAACAACATCATCATGAGAAAAATCCAGAAGACACCAAAATTCTCTTTTTTTTGTAAGAGTTTAATGCGATGCAGAGTGTTACACCCCAGAAAAGGACTAATCACCAGAACTTAAAATGAGCAAAGGAAAGATTTCCAGGCCATTACCAAGTGTGAGAACAAACAGCCAGAGGATTCACAGACATTTGTATAAAGCTCATTGATTTCAAAAGCTGTAATTGGAACAAGTGCTTAAACTCTCCCATTAAAATGTACCAGAATAACAAAAGTTTACATTTGACCAGATCCTGTGTCACAGATTTTTAGCTGCCATTATTTATCACATTATTTTGAAATCGTCTGAGCAGTCAGTACAATTGCAGGCTGGTCACCACAGAAATGTACCAGATGAATATGTGAGCGAAATACAAGTCATGTGATCTGTTGATAGTAATAAAAGAACTGGAATTGAAAGGCTGTGTCCACATGAACAGTAATTTCAGTATGGCCCACAGTCACGTGATTTACCGTTCAGTCATCTTAAAATACAAACAAACAAAAGTTCAGAGCATGCTTTTCAATATCATGAGAATCAAGTTGTCCTTAGCCTTGCCGTTTCTTCTTCGTTACTAAAACTAATGCTTTTCCAGGCTGTATTCTCCACCATACAAAGACCATTTCTAGTACTTCAAAGCTCTGCAGTATCTAAGACAAACTTCACCCTCTCCACTGTATATCTATCACTAAAGATTATGAAAAGCATAGAGGTGAGACACATACACACCTGTCCTATTTACCTTTGTTCATGCAAACACAACCTTAGTAAGTAGTAGTGTGTGTTCAATTGACTTGCATCTTCTGATCTACAGCTGAAGGTATAAAACTTACACCTAGATTTAGTTAAGGTCAAAGAATACAAAAAAATATTCTGGGAGAGAAGGCCTAGTGGTCTTCTGGGAGAGAAGGCCTAGTGGTCATAAGGGACAATGGCCTTTTTTCTTTCCTTCTGAAAGGTTGCTAAGGTTGGATCCAGTGTGACTTAGGAGAGATCATCAGAAGAATCCAGGGTTAAAGTGGTCGCTGAGTTGGTTCCTTAATGGTTCTTTGTTGTAGACCTGATGGATGACGTTGTGGTTTTCTTCACAATGGTGCTCCCAGAGCCATATCCTCCACCAATTCGGCCACTTCCAGAGCTGAAACCACCGAAGCTGGCAGATCCTCCTCCATAGGACAAGCCTCCTCCATATCCGCCCCCATATCCACCACCAGAAATGTGGGTGGTAGAACCTACCATGGCTGGGAAAGGAAAACAATCATTGTTACGAATTGTTCACACTCATCTAATATTTTTAACTAAGGCCTAGGTCTCAGGGTTGTTTTTTTTTTAAGTGTTGAGCCATAATGCCAGGGTGCTGTTCCTCCGTTCACCCCAGCATCTCTAGGAATACCACTTAATCATGTCTATCCCTCAGCATATTGCCCCAAGTACACAACACAAGCAGGGTCAACTGAATGGTCAAAGCAGCAGCAAAGCCGTTTTGTTATGTTTTTAAAAAAGAAAGAAACCATAGCTATCTCATATTCAAAGATAAGATCTAAAAACGTCCTATTATAGGGGGCCAGTAGACCTCAGGCTTCACAATCATGGGAGGCGTCAAATTGTATTATACAATCATATTGTTTAAATGAGACCACCATTTTTGAAACAAGGTTTTGAATTTTCTTTTTTAAAATGCCTCCAAAAGCAGTACCGGCTGGGCCCTCCCCCTTGCGTTTTCAAAAACACAGCAACCATCCACACATACGTCCTATTCTGTAAGACCCATCATTATTGCAAAGTCATTCAACGGATCATTTAGCTGTCCCTTTAAAAGTATCTCATAAATATTTTCAGAAGTTCCTTTGCTTGCAAGACTTCGGGCATGGTCAGAGCTGCTTGTTGTTGTTACGTGTTGTCAAGTCACCTCCGAATTGTGGTGACCCTAGGAAGGAGAATGTCCTCCACTGCCCCACTAAGAAACACAATTTCTTACAGGGTAGCACTGATTTCCCAGCTTAAATCACTGGGTAGGTTATATCTGAGAACTGGTTCCCCAGCTGAGTCAGCTGAGAATGACTTCATAGTTAGGCCCTGGTCATAACTATTTGCGGGACTCTTGTCTTCCCTTTTTCCTTCCAGCTACCTGTCTCTTCCAAACATTGAGACATCCTGTTGCAAAAATATTGAATGATTTTGACAGATTTTAAATGTTTAGCAAGGAGTCTTTTGTGTAAAGTGTATGGGACAAACTGCAGCTCTGTCATCCATTCTCTCTGCCTGTGAACTATGGTGGAAAGTTTTTGTTTCTCTCCAGAGATTGCTGAAATGGTAAGAGTGAGAAATGTGAATATTTGCATACTGTTGGATATGACTCTTTGGCTCCTACTGATTTCCCATGGATCCTGATTGTTCCTATTAATAATCACATTTAAGTAGCACCTGAATTGGGGGGATTGTCCTCTTAGGGATGTTACGTCCCTCCATCTTAGGGATGTTACGCTAAGAGTTACCTTCTCTCTGGCCACAAACGTAGGGCGAGATCACAGAGGGAAACAGACTGCTATGGACCACTTGTGGAGCAGTCCAGCGGAATCTATTTCCCAGAAATTGCATAATATACAAGGGATTGTGCTCCAGCCTGACTCCAAGCTATGCTAAAGCAGACAGGAGAGTTGCTTTAAGGGAGGTAGCATCAAGCAAAGGAGCCTTTCTGGTGCAATGAGGTGCATGTCTTTGCAGCCCTCGGATCACACCCTTAGTAATTTATCTGTTGTTAGCTAGGGTTCTGTCCATTCTTTTTACATTTCATCATACAAAAATGTGCTTCATAATTGGTATTTCAAAGAAACTGGCTTAGGCAATGGAACATTATAATGGGAGGAGAAAACATCTAACAATGTCCTTCTAAGTGAACAATTGGTTGAATGCCATTGTGAAATCAATACCCACAATGTTAAAAATAGAAAGCTCAATTTCTGCAGAGGTGGAAGTGAGTACTAGGTGGTATGGGAATAATAAGGAGAAAAAAGACAAGCTCCAGGGGGGAAATGGGGGCAGAGTGTGAAGACAAATAGATGCTAGACTAGGGGAGGGCACTAAGGGTTTTTTTTAATCCAAGCAAAGCCAGAGATCTTCACTAGTTTGAAATATTCATTGTTTCAAATATTCATTATTTTAAATTCCGCTTTCAGATACAGAAACTGATTAGATTAAATAAATCAATAAATATACAGTTCTGCTTGTAGTTGTAGAAGAGGTAGCCATGTTAGTCTGTGCAAGCATTACAAGTTAAAACAAAATTTTAAAAAGACAGATAAAAAAGACAAAAACATATATTTTTCTGCTTCTTCCTGCTCTTGGTCTTACATTGTGTTTAGCTGAATCTAATTGATTTGTTTTAGTAGTTGTTATATTACTTATTGAGGTATTTTTAAAAAATAAAATAAAATGGAGCCTCCCTACGACAGCTAGATACCTTCTGGATGACACTGGCCGGCATGGAGCCACCACGTGAGAGGGATAATCCATGAAGTGGTGAAGCTCAGTTGAGAGGGATTGTGGCATGGGGGCCCAAGAGCTGAATACAACAAGTATGGATCTGTCTTCAAAATTAACCCCATTCAACTAGGAACTTTTCTTGATTTGCTCTAGGCAAGTTGCACACAGGATAAATACATGAGCAGCGCACCCCACCTCTACAGTCCAAGGTAAACTATTAGACGGGCATGGTACAGATAAATGATACAGTTCCTTGTAGTAGCTTTCATGCTGTCTTTGGAAAATAGATAAAACAGCCTTTCAGAAACTTCCATCTCTTTCACATGCTTTGCTATCGCACTATTCCGAGCTGCATCAACACTTTGTGGTTGCCTAAAAGTATATCTCAGGATGATGCATAAAGTCACCCTCCCCACGCTTGACGGTGGAATCACATTCCACTTCCTCCACATTCTGTTAATGTTGATTTCTACCATACTCAGAGCCTCCGTGCATCACTTCCACCAGGCACGCAACTGTGATGGCTGCCACTGTAACACTGATGTTGCCACATGGCTGTACCAGCAGCGCATGGTCCTGGCAATGATTGGAAAAGTTATAGGTGGTGGGTGGGTAGGGGTTCCCAGAATTCACCAGAGGTGGACGAGACAGAGTTGTTACTTACAGACGTTCACAGCGCTTTGGCATTCTCCGGACATCCTGGGGAAAAACAACAACAGATATTTAAGTAATGGACCAGATCCAAGCAGACTTGTTCACATAGAGAAGGCAAGCAATATTCCATCAAGAGGAACTCATCCCTTGAAGTTGTCTTGCTTTCAGTAGAGTAGACCTTTGGTGTAGATGGGCGGGATAGAAATCTAGTAAAATAAAAAAACTAAAAAATAAAATAAATAATAAATAGAGAAAGCACAATAAGATCTACCACTGTAGATCTCAGTGTCGTGCCGTGGGAAAAGTGCCTGGTGCATAAAAGCTCAGCTTGGATCTTTTCATTTGTTCAGCTTCAGAAGACAATTCTTTGAACATGTTAGCATGGCCTTAATTTAAAAATCTAGGACACAGCTTCAAGACTTCTGGCCCTTACAACCTGGACAGGCATGATACTTCAGCCTCTCATCATGATTTTCAGTAATTTCTAAAATTGAGTAATCTGCATAGTGGATGTGAATGTACTAGAACTTTCCAAATTATTTTTAGAAATTAGTTACTTGCAGTTACAGTTCTGAACTCCCCAAAAGTAGTTAAATTAGTTACTCTACAGTTCAAAAACCCACAAAGCATTTAATTACCATTGTTATAGTTTTAAAAGCCACTTTTATTCTCTTGTTCTTCTCTCTTTCTCTCTCTTTGTTATTCACAAATAAGACAATTTTGAAAAAACATTTCATAAAACTCTCCTCCAGTGCCTCTCCAGTTGCACTTTATCTCATATAATGCCAGCAAGATTAACCAGGTCTCAGTCTTTGGCAGGACCATTTTTTGATAGGGGAGAAAGGTGGGTTGAAATTCAATAAATAAGCTACATAAATGTTCCTCCTTTCGGCATTGAGTAAGCATTGCCTACCTTGCCATTTCCATTCCAGCAGGCAGGCCTTCACTCATGGGCTCGAAGCTCAGTCCCTCACCAATTAGCTTTTATCTACTGAACATCCAGTCCTTCCCAACACTTTCCCAGAGGCCAGGGCAGAGGGCTCACCATCATCCTAATCTCTTCAGCGAGAGCCGAATATATGCCTCTTTCCCTTTGTGCTTACCTGCTCTCCTCTCCCTCCAGCAATTTCCTGTAGGTGGCAATCTCAATATCCAGGGCCATCTTGCCGTTCATCAGCTCCTGATACTCCCTCAAGAGACGGGTCATTTCTTCCTTGGCCTTTTGCAGAGCCTCTTCCAGTTCGGCCAGTTTCCCCCGAGCATCCTTGAGAGCCAGCTCACCACGTTCCTCAGCTTCTGAAATGGAAGCCTGCAGCTTCTCACACTGAAAAGCAAGACAGAACAGATGACAATAACAACAACATTCTTCTATTGTTTTAAACTGTTTTATAAACCACCTTGTCACCCAATTCTGGGAGAAAGGCACCAAAGAAATGATATGGAATGAATAAATAAATATGTTTCCTTGGTGTAGTGACACCCCAGATTCAAAGGAACCATTTATGAATTCCATTTGGTTCTTATGAATTTGACTTCAGGGGTAACACACAGTCATTAACAAGATTACATAACAGGCCCTTGTATTTTCTGTCTTCTATTAAATGACATAATAACTTCAAGATAAAATTTCCACTGAATACATTATTAGGCCTAGATCCCAGTTCCTCTGACTCTTATTTCTACTTTCCCCCCTCTTTTTCTTCTTTTCTTCTTTTCTTTTCTAAGCAAGTTTCTTGCCTTTGTGACTTCAAAGTTATGGGGCGTCCTGGGACTATGCATTTTGCGCAAGGCCACACGGATTGGCTGTCCTTGCAGGAGGCGCAGAGGGGAACTGAACTCCAGCCTCTGGCCCCACAGTCATGCACTTAAACCACTAAGCTGTTCAGACAGCAGAAGATGCAGTAGAAGCCACTAAAATATTGTTGCACTGCTTATGAATCCTGGCCATGATGCTGGCAGGAATGCTGGATCAGCTACCCCCAAGCCCTAACTTTTCCATGTTCTGGAGGTCTGAGGATTTATCCACTGAAACCACCATATTTTAAAGTGTGCTTCAGATTGCATCATGGCAGTTAAGATGCTGATGACTGACCTAAAGAATTTCCCTATGCTGAACACAGGGAAATTCCAAGGAGAATTCTATCACCGTCCCTGCTTAATCCTGGATCGATCCTGCAAAAACATCTTCCCTTTACCTGCTTCTTCACATTATCTATTTCTGCACGTATCCTCTGAATCATCCGGTTCATCTCAGAGATCTCAGCCTTGGTGTCTCGGAGGTTGTCACCATGTTTTCCAGCTGTTAGCTGCAGCTCTTCATACTGCCATTCAGGAAGAAAGGAAGGGTCAGAGATTAGGTCTGAGAAGAGGGTCATTTGCGCCTGGCCCTAACTGAGTGATAGTTCAGCAGTCCGAAAAAGCCATTCCACCCCCCCACACACACACACACACCAAGACTCTGCTTACACAGCTTCAGCTCCCACAGGAAAATTATGCTTCTAAAGAAAAGATCCTCAGCTCACCCTTTGAATTTGTCCATTTGAAACACATTCAATCGATGGACCTTGAGAATTCTGGTTTATATCTTGTACACACCAGACTGAGGCCCACCCATCTCTAAATCAATACAAGGCCCTGTGTGCCTTTGGCTTCCCCCAGTTATGAACACCATGTTCCCCCGCCCCCCATAATGGGCATTCATGCCAGGAGGACTTTGTCCACACATCTGATTTTAGATTAGCAAGCTTTGATAGAAACCAAGCACCTGGAAGGCTCACCTTACTCTGGTACCACGACTCTGCTTCCAATCGGCTCTTCTGGGCAATCTCTTCATACTGAGCCTTGACATCAGCAATGATGCTGTCCAGGTCCAGGTTACGGTTGTTATCCATTTGGAGGACGACAGAAGTGTCAGAGACGGTCTGCTGTACCTGGCTGAGTTCCTAAGAAGAAAGAAATCCAGATGGTAGCTTAAACATGCCATCCTTCTCTGTGTATCTTCCTCTCTGGATTCACCGCTTCCAGTCTTCCTAGAGAGCCCTCTATCTGTATTTTCAACAGATAGAGGTCTAATTGTCATGTTATGCTCCGTTCTTTTTCGGCATGCCAATAATAAAAAATTTAAATTAAAAAAAAATCCACAAAAGCTGCTGTTATTAGACACTAATAAAATAGATAAATCTTAATGGCATATGGTGTCATTCACATGTGAAGCTACACATTGCAGAGAGAGCACAAAGGATCGGTGCATGCTTTACAGGCAGAGCAATATTCTCTGCTCCCCTATCCCCAAGTTATGGAGCCCCTATCAATAACAGCAAGGCCATTCAGACTTGAAGTGGAGGAAAGACTCTTTTTTTTTGCTCCAATTTCAGCAGGGAGAATGACCAGCATGTAGATGGGAGGGATTAAAGGGGCTTTAGACATACAGAGGCTTAAATGGTTTCCTTCCTTCTATTGTCTCCAGATGCTGGCATCAAATTGCTCCTGAATGCCCAGTTAATTGTGGGCTGTCAAGTCTATTCCAATCTATGGTGACCCTTTTCAGGGTGTCCTAGGTAGAGGATACTCAGAGATGGTTTACCACTCCCTTCTTCTGGGGGAACCCTTTGGACTGTGCAGCATGCCCCAGGACCACATGGGCCAGCTCTTCTTTTGGGGGGGCACAGAGAGGAATCAAACTCCCAACTTCTGACTGAGGGCTGTTGAAGACCCAACTTTAAGCCCCTGCCCAGCCATGAAGTATTTTGAGCAACCCTGAAAAGGCATCTCTTTTTGTCTCAGAGGGTATCACACGGGGTAGTAAAAACAAAACCAAGGAGGAACTACAATGGTGTCTCGCTAGACGGTTACACTGCATGACAGTTTTTTCACTAGACATTGACTTTTTGCGATTGCTATAGCAATTCGCAAAACAGTGATTCTTATAGGAGAATTTCGCTGGACAATGTTTGGTCCCTGCTTCATAAACCAATTTTTGCTAGACGACGATTTTGACAGCTCCCTCCGCACTTGCAAAATGGGTGTTTTGGGGACCTAAGCTTCGCAAGACAGCTATTTAAACAGCTGATCAGCGGTTCACAAAGTGCCTTTCCTATGGCCGATCTTCGCTAGACAACGACGATTCTTCCCCATTGGAACGCATTAAACTGGTTTCAATGCATTCCAGTGGGGAAATGCTTTTCACTAGACAATGATTTCGCTAAACAGCGATTTCAGTGGAACGGATTATCATCATCTAGTGAAGCACCACTGTATGCATGCTGCCCTGGGCTCCTTGGAGAAAAGGTGGAATATAACTGTGAAAAATAGGTGAATAAATCAATAGATAAGTGCCAAGATATTACTTGAGTTCGCTGTTAAGACAACTTACTTACACACGCATGTCCAATATAATTCTTTGTCAATTCTTAAAAGCTGTAAAGGGTGTTAAAATCTTGCAGGAAAATCTCAACCATGTTCACAATGCTCTTTTCACTTATCCTGATGTGGCCATTCACTTTTACAAGGAAATTCAACATGGGAGAAGAACTGGCTTGAGAATTCCTCCACTCTCCTACCCTACAACAACAATGCCTTCCCCCATACTTCCTAACTGTTAGAGAAGTACAACAATGGAACCAATTATCTTGGGAGATGCTCCGACGCTGGAGGCATTCAAGAGAAAATTGGACAACCATCTGTCAGAACTGCTTCGATGTGGATTCCTGCATCTGTGGGCTTATAGGCCCCTTCCAATGCCATTTTTCTATTATTCTATCCATATAGGTCTACGATCATTGCAAATGCCCAAAAGCAAACAGCAAGATGACTTACAGCTTCATAGAGACATTTCAAGAAGTTAATTTCATCCACCAAGTTATCCAGCTTTGCCTGCAGTTCTGTTTTGTTCATGTAAGCAGCGTCCACATCCTGAAGGAAAGACCAGAATGATAGATTTAACGATTTCCTTTAAATAAGTCCACTAGTTCTGCTAAAAGCCAACTTGAACAGCATCTTGTTCCTTTGCTGAAACCACAGCAAAGAAGCAAAGAATGCTTTTTGTTATTCCTCATAGCTACATGCCTGTAAAATGCCATGGGCCAACTGGAGGATGATGGCAACAGAGATCTCCACATTATTTTCCACCAAGACTCAGCTCTTAGTTTGAGGAGAAAGCCATTTCTTGAGTCTCATTAGACTCCATTGGGGGATAAAAACTTTATCTGTATCAGGTAACACTATTGTATTGCTTCCTATTCTCTTTCAAAAGGTAAATACAGCCAGCTACCTAGATCACAGAGAAAGTCTGTCTGTTGGCACCATTTTGTAAAATCCTCTAAAATGGTGCCACAGTTCTGGAGTGTCCAGTTTGACATGGACACTGTAGGAAGTTTGTGCCATCTTGAGAGCTCTTTCCTCAATCACAGAAGAGGGTAATGCATGCAATGAAGGTTGCTGTGGGCTGAAATTAATTCTATTGGTGGACATGAGAGCAATGGGACAAGGCACTGAAACTTTATAGGCATTCAGCCCAGAGTTTTAATAATACTCTCTTTTGCCTCCAGGACTTTTCCCCTCCATCAGAAAAAGGACATCTGTGATGTCATGAACATGGTGGACTGTGTTTCACATCTGTGTCTCCATGTGTGTTGGTTAATTTGGTTACACATCATAAAAATCAGTGTTACCGTGACAGTATTCCTATTCAGGCATTATGAACACAAGAGGAAGGTGGTGCTGATGTGCTAGGCCCTCCTCCTTCCTTGTGTATTTCCATTGCTTTCCTCTGTTGAAGAGTAAAGCCTACTCTATGCACAGTGGCTGTCCATAGGATCCAGAAGTCTGGAAAAAAATCTGTGTTCTCTGTGGCTTCCAGAGTTTCCATGTTTAGAAGCATGTCCCCACGAGAAGAGCAATGGAAGCTGCACCAGAGGGGGAAGAGCTAGCACACACACACTCTCCTTGAGTATTTAGTACACTTCCTGTTCATAATACCAGAACAGAGCTTCCATACTTCTTATGTAGAAGATGGCCACTTGGTTAGCCCAAACTATACTCTTATCATTAGCATCCCAAAGTAAGCAATGGTTCTAGTATGGAAAAGCACTTCCTGTTTCATATTGAGCTGATTATTTGGGGGAGGCAGTAATTAGAAAATAACCTTGCATATCAAATACAAGTTGTTGTTATCGTCATCATCATCATCTTTTTACACAAAGCAATCACAAAAAATACTGAGGCACTGACCTTTTTCAAGAGAACAAAGTCATTTTCGGCTGAAGTGCGCTTGTTAATTTCTTCTTCATATCTGGTGAATGCAAGAGAAGTTTGTGTTATGTTTCAGTACGTTTGCTTCTCCATCTGTATGCTTCCTTCTCCATGGTGGTTACACTTTTGTGTGCCTTCTACACATAAACTCCAAATTAACCTTCCATTCTCTACACCAGTGGTTCTCAACCTTAGGTAACCCCGGTGTTCTTGGACTGCAATGCCCAGAAGCCTTCACCACCAGCTGTGATAGCAAGAGCTCATGGGAACTGCAGTCTAAGAACACCTAGGTTACCTAAGGACAGATCTAGATTCCTCCTATCCTAGTCAAACTATTTGAAATTCTTTGAGGACTTGAATTTTGAGCAAGAAAACCAATACTTTTTAAAAATCTAAACAATATATATGCAAATCCTTAGCTGCTTAGCAATTGTTTGTCTTTCTTTCATCTATAGGGATTTCAATACCATGACCCAGACTTTTCTTTTATTTTGATAAGGACAGACTGATGGCACTTAGCAAAATCCAGTCCTTACTTTCTAAATTGCCCTAACAGTCAAAAGCCTTTTTGTATTTGCTTGTCATGCAAGAGAAAGAGAGAGAGAAATCTAATCCCATTCATTCTGTGGTTTCTGAAGCATTCTCAAGTTTATGACTCATACATTGTTCTTTCCATTCTTTTGACTCTCTTCTCTGCCAGAAGCATTCCACATCTTTTGACATCAGCCAAAGATTTTTTTTTTAAAAAAATACCATTCTGATTAACATGGTTTGCAGGTGTATTTATCTATTGCACAACACTGCATAACAATACCTGTTTTGGTATGGGGCAGGCCAGCAAATGGGTATCCCATATCTCCCACATGGATCTTTGTGACTGACAGAACATGATCAGCCAAAGCAGGCCATCTCCTGCTCATGTGTGAGCTTAAAGAGAGGAGCCAGACAAGGGGCTGATATAAACCTCCACCTCCTGTGTCTTTCCACAAGCAACTGCTTCTTAGACATTTGTAAGCTGAGCACAAAAGGCTGCCAAGGGTTCTATAAATGCTTTTGATAAAATGTACTTGCAGATTTGTTGAGATCATTAACCAGGGTCACAATGCTCATACAACAAAGCTTAAAACAAATGAGTCAGGTCATGGCACCTTCAAGACCAACATATTTATTTCATTATGAGCATTTCTGATTATAATCCACTTCCCCATCACAAGCATGCCTGATAAAGGTATCTAGTAAAGCACAGGATTTGCTTCTGCATTAAGGATGAAAAGGAAAGGAGAAGATGGGCAGATCAGACCTTCTCCAATGTCCCTTCTGCCCTTTTGACCACCATGTGTTGACAGAGTCAGCACCATGGATGGCGGGGTTTGTAGACCATTATATCTAAAGGGCCAAGGGCTTCTCAGCCCATATCTGTAATTTAGCACCTTCATATTCCTGCACGTTTTGCAAGATCTCACATTTCAAAGTTAAGAGTTCTTGGAACTCAACCATTTTATAAGTTTTCCCTAAAACAATTTTAAAATTACACATCCTTCATTCTCCATCTTGAGATAAGGGAAGCATATAAATTAAAGAAACAACCACCAAAAGCTTAACAAAATTTCAACCATATAGAAAATGCAGTTTTGTTGACTCTCTGAAAACAGTTACACTGACCTTCAGACAAGACGAACCATATCCTATCCCAGGATACCTCAAATATAACAAACTGATCTTCCAATGTCAGCCTTCATCAAGTTCACTTTAATATACCTTATGGACAGTTGGATAATCCCATTTCAACCAACCCAATTTTTACCTAAACGATCCTTACCATCTTTAACTGGACAGGGTCCCCATTACTAACTCCTTGCTGTTCCATGACAGGATTCATTCTAACAATGCTTGTTTTATTACAACATTTTCCCTACATTGAATCACTTAATGCAATTTAGTTGTTGCATGTCATGATGTGTGTCATTTCTTCCAGTGAAGTACTTTCTCCAGAGTCAGTATTGTGACATTCAAAAAAGGCCCTCATCATAGAGGACTAGGCAACATCCCACCTCTCCATCTTTGGTCCTTGATTTATAACATATGCAAAGTTCTTCCTGTTCTTCCCATGGGGTGTGGGGTGGGGATCTACATTGGGGAAAAAGTTGAAATCTCTGGAATTTGGGTGGGCTAAACTATTCTCTTACTTGTTCTTGTAGTCCTCCACAAGGTCTTGGAAGTTTTTAAGTTCCAAATCCAGTCCTCTCCTTTCATTCTGGAGGCCTTCTAGCTGTTTCCTGAGGTTGTTGATATACATCTCATAGAGCTGGTCAAAATTCTTTTGCCTCCCAGTGCCTTGTTCCTGCAAAAGTTTCCACTTGGTCTCCAGCACTTGGTTCTGTTGCTCTAGGAAGCGAACCTAAATGGGGAAAAAAAAAGAAACCGTGAAGAGTGGTCAATCAGAAAAAGTGTTTACTTTTGTTTCAGTGATCCTTAGGAAGCAGGAATAGTCCATATATTTTCTAGTACCTGCCCCTAATGTGTCACTACTCTTATTTTGGCTCTGTACTGACCTCTATGAGAGAGTCAGAGAGATAGCGTTTGTAAAATGCTTTTAGTGTCAATTTCTGGAGTCCCCTTGCATCCTGTTTGACTCTTCCCCTCTATCTCTAGAATGAAAGTGGACAATCTGTGGCCTTCCAGATGTTGTTAAATTGCAACTCCCAATCAGTTCTAACCAGCATGCCCAATGGTCAGGAGCAATGAGAGTTGTTCAACAGCATCTGAACATCTGCAGGTTGCCATTCCTTCATCTAGCTATTGAATGTCTGCAGAACGGTAGGTGTGTACATCTTCACTTTTATTAGCTCATTAATGCAATGGCAAGATGTGTGGAGCCTATTTTTCCAACGAGTCAAATGAACATCTGCAGGTTGCCATTCCTTCATCCAGATATCAAATGTCAGCAGAAAGGTTGGTGTGTGTATATCTTATCTTTTATTAGCTCATTAACGCAATGGCAAGATGTGTGAAGCCTATTTTTCCAACGAGTCAAGTATCCAAAGACTGTCATTGGTAGTACAGGAGGCAAGTTTATTTTTCTCCTAGCATATCCTTTAGCAAGTGAACAAGCAGCTTCTTTGCGTCAGACTGCGTGGAAGTATGCAGCCTCCAGCAAGAAAGAAGCAGCAGATAAGACACAGTGGTCAGTTTTGGCAATGGTTTTAGAGATGGCAAGACACATGTGATAGAAAAACAATAAAAATCTTGTTTTCATCCATAAAATGTAGAAGACTTTTGAGAAGAATTAAGGTATCTCAGAGCAAAAAAAAATATCAAGGAACCCTCCCTTCACTACCAGGATCCAGAGACGTCACCAGGGCCTTCCTCCAGCTGAGTTTTTGCCTCAAAGCTGCCCTTCCTGTTAGGGCAGCCCTGGGAAACTAAAGGTAAAATAAGACAAAATGCTTAGCATGCCATTAGAGATGGAGCTTGCTTAAATAGTAAGGAAAGATATTTTTGTTCCTGCAAGTTACTTTGCAACTGGTCATTATGATGTAAACACAGGTTTCATTTGCAAGTCTAAGGCACACAACCCTGAGGAAATCCTAAATGTGAACTGTGTCCCTTGTCTAGTTGGACCCTCAGCCTTCTGAAGGTCAGAGGTCAGGGCTCCACATGCACAGCGTTGTGGCTGCCATGTCAAAGACACTCTTGATTACACTGCCCAGTCTGCTTTCTTGACCTTTCAATCTGCAGTAAAAAGAATGTTTTGTTAATAGCCAATCTGTTTCCTGAAAATGAAAACATAGCCGATGCCTGTCTTATGATAAAGGGTACCACCACCATTTTTGGAGAATTTAACATCAACAAGAGCTCCAGTCTGGCCAGCGGCTTCTGAAAGAGGCACTGAATATGACTATCAACCCAGCTTTGCTTACTGCTCTTTCTGAGTCATAGTATTACACCAAGAGCTTCTTCTAACCCCCACCTGGGTACCTCTGTCCATCCAGACACTACCATTCATTCCGCAACTCCCTCTGCACTGTCAAAATCTTTAAGAAACCCACCATCATTTGCTCCTCCTCAAAAATTTTGCAGCCCAAAAGGGGGAATCTATTGGTTGCATCACCAATGCATACATTCTCCTTGGGGACAATAATACTGCACAGAAGGATTAGGTGTGCTAAACACAGTGTGCATTAAACAGTCATAGTCTGATGGGAAACATACCAGGTTCTATTCTTGTCTATCTGCCCCAAAGAAAAGGTTCATTATAGAACCAACACACCTGATTTCTCTGGATTTGGGCACAGGACTCTCCTGAGAGAAGAAAGAGTTGTCCACCTTTTCCAGCATATATCTCAGTCTGCAGTTTTTATTATTGCTAGCATGAAAAATGGGCCATTGTTTATTCATAGGAGAAGCATGTTTGCAGTGCCCTGCTTCTGGAAGTGGAGGATTGGTTGGCTGCAAAATGTTGCCCAGGAGACACCTGTGTGTACTCGCAATCCTTTTCCACTCTTTGGAGAGGCTCCTTCTATGTCCCCCTGAGAAACTGGTAATGGTATGTGATATCAACAAAGGATAAATCAATAACACAGAAGTTGTTCCACTCTCGAGCCTTTTCCCAGGGCATTCTGGGAAGCAGAGATTAGTGGAGAAGGACTTCAGACTGTCTGGGGCCTCCATTATTTCCCAGGGTTCCTTGCAAGAACCACGAGAGTTACAATTGCGTAGATTTTGTAAAGTAAGCAATACCCTTCCAAAGGTTTCCATCTTTCAGTTCTTTTCCTACTCATGAAAATTTCTTAGGAACTACTTTTGGTCTCCCTGGGAGTCACATCTGATCCTCAATTTGAGATTCAGTTTAAAGCTATAAATCAAAACTTTTCAATAACTCCAAACTTTACCAGTCTTACTAGACATTTGTTGTAAAATCATAATCAGTGCAGATCTTACAGGCAATGCTCTTGAAATATTCTCATAACAAGAAGGGCAGAAAATATAGCACAAGGGAAAAGAAACAATCCTGGAAGTTCATACTCTCACAATCATCTCACCTTGTCAATGAAGGAGGCAAATTTGTTGTTGAGGGTCATCATCTGTTCCCGCTCTTCTTCACGTACTTTTTGGATCTGTGGGTCAATCTCTATGTGGAGGGGCTGCAGGAGGTGCTGGTTGATGGTCACTTCCTTGATCCCACCAGGTGGGCATACTGGTAACCAGGGGCCACCGGTACCATTTAAGCCACCACCGAGCCCTCCACCAAAGCCATAACCAACATCTCCACCGAAGCCACCACCAATTCCAAAGCCTCCACCACCTCCCTGGCCACAAGAACCAATGCCCCCACCAAAGCCACTGCCACCAAATCCACCCATGGAGATTCTCTTGCTGCCACCTAGGTTATACAGGCTCTTGCTGCCAAAACCACCAATAGCTCCACCACGAGCGGAGCATCCACGGGATGTGGACGTGGTGCTGAAACTGACTCTGTTTCCACCCCCTAAGGAAACAGAACTGGAACTGAAGCCCCTGTTCCCTCCTCCAATGCTTCGGGCATAGGACTGACGAGACATGGTAGCCGATTGCAAGCAAGTTTGTCTTGATGGCAGTGGAGGTTCCAAGGAAGAGTTCCCAGTAATGAATGACACTGAGGCCCTCTGACAGCAGGGTAAAAATATCAACCTTTTTATCCGTTCGGAGGGTTGGCTAGCTGACAGGGGAGTGGAAAATAAAGTGCTTACTTTTTATTGTTATTATAATATTCCTGAGCCTAGGTGTGCTTGGCACCCTCCCTCTGACTCTGCGCCAGAAACTGACCTTCCCTGAAACACACCCTGAAGTGCCGAAAAACCCGCAATATGACAGTGAACTCTTGACAACCCCAGATTACCTGCATCACCCTTCTGTCAACTGATTGGTTTTGCTACAAGCCTTGCATGACAAGTCCTCTTGACATTCCCCAGGCCTGCCAGGAAAAATAATCCCCTGGCTCAGGTACATCCCCATCCCTCCCTTTTTAAAAAAGGTTGCTGGCAGATGGGTCTTTTCAGAGGGATCCAAAAGGTAACCCTCTGACATGCATTGTTCAAACGAAAGAACAGGTATCTCTCCACACCCACCATCGCACCACAAAGTTCAGCGTTTTTCTTTCTTGGAGAAAAAGAAATAAATCCAGCATGAAATCTGACAATTAGATTTCCTAGGGTGGAGGCCAAGTTAAGGGGGGCAGCAGAAGCACAGTCTTAACTCTTAAATCCATGACAATATCTACTCAAGTTTGTCTCAACTGGAAAGATTAGCGTGGGATATATTGCATTTTTATCATGCCCTTCCTCCAAGAAACATCAGGTGGCATACATGGATCTCACACAGAGAAAGAGGGGGGAGAGAGAGCTTTTATTGTCACTACAGCTATTTATAGTCATACATTGTAAAATTGGAAGGCTCTTGGTCCCAGGTGGATAACTTTTATGAGTCTGGAAATGACCTCTGCCCCCTCCTGAACCATAGGGACCCACACTCTCTACACTAGCAGTTCCCAACCTTGGGTCCCCAGAAGTTCTTGGACTAAAACTCCCAGAAGCCTTCGCCACTAGCTGTGCTGGCCAGGATTTCTGGGGGTTTTAGTCCAAGAACATCTAGGGACCCAAGGCTGGGAATCACTGTTCTACACTCTCAAAAAGCAAACAAATATTCTTTTCCCCAAATGCTGCATCATCATCATCATCATCATCATCATCATCATCATCATCATCATCATCATCATCATCATCATCATCATCAGTAGTAGTAGTAGTAGTAGTAGTAGTAGTAGTAGTAGTAGTAGTAGTATTGTTAGTAGTAGAAGAAGTAATAGTAATAGTAATGGTAGTATTAATTTAATTCATTCATTCATTCATTCATTTAAAAACCCCAGACACAGTAAAAATTATAAAAACATTGACTGGTATTATATAGCAGATAACATGTTTTAACCAAAAACCTAAGTATCTGTTAAATATCGATGCTATGTATGCTGTTCCTAATATTGACGGTTTTTGTAGCTCTGATCGTGTGATTTCTGAGATCTGCAACTGCTTATACCCTGTTTCCCTGAAAATAAGACCTAACCTGAAAATAAGCCCTAGTATGATTTTTCAGGATGCTCATAATATAAGCCCTACCCCAAAAATAAGCTCCAGTTAAGTGAAACCCCACCTTCCATCATTGCACAGCAACCAGAAGATGACATGACTGCATTTGAATAAATATAAATTGTTGTACATGAAAAAAAAATAAAACATCCCCTGAAAATAAGCCCTAATGCATTTTTGGAGTAAAATTTAATATAAGACCATGTCTTATTTTCAGGGAAACACAGTAGTACTGTGTGAAATTTCTTGCTATTGTTCCCAAAGCCCCAATGACTAAGGGGACCACTGAAGTATGTTTCTTCCAGAGGCGAGATGTTTTGATTCCCAGGTCTCTGTACTTTGTTAGTTTTTCCAATTCTTTATTTTTCAACTCTGGCATCCTCTAAAATTACAATGTCAGTGGTCCAGACATTTCTTCTTTCTATTGCTACGATGTCTGTTGTGTTATGTTCAAGGTATCTATCAATTTGGATCCAGAAAGCCCACAAGATCTTGACTTCCTCATTTTCTGACACCTTCTCTACCTGATGTTCCCATGAGTTTTTGGAGGCTAAATATATTGCATAATAACCAGTGTATTAACTTTGCCACTCCATCATGTCTGACTTTGTAATCTGTTCGTGCAATCTTTGGACATTCACAGATGAGGTGTGACACATTTCACCTTTTTCTTGGCGGAGTCGACATTTCCTGTTATAACTAACTCCTTGGATCTTAGCTTTCATCACATTGGTTTGGAGTGCTTGTTCTTGTGCAGCAAGAATCAAGCCTTCAGTTTCTTTCTTTAGAGATCTCAATTTATCCATGCCCATGTTGAATTATGATCATGCTTTCCATTACAGTGGTGCCTCACTTGACGAGGATAATCCGTTCCAGCGAAATCGCTGTAGAGTGAAATCGTCATCAAGCGAGGAAAAAAAACCATTGAATCGCATTGAAAACCGATTCAGTGCATTCCAATGGGTGAAATACGTCAGTGTTCAGCGAAGATCCTCCATAGGGTGGCCATTTTCCGATCCCTGTTAAGCGAAAAATCCATCCTAAAAACAGCGTGGAGCCATTTTGCACAGCGGGTGGCCATTTTGAAACCCAATGATCAGCTGTTTTAGATCATCGTAATGCGAAGAATCAATTCCCAAAGAGGGAACCAATCATCGTCAAACGAAAATCACCCTTTGAAACATCGTTTTGCGATCGCAATAGTGATCGCAAAAACATCATCGTGAAGTGATTTAGTCATTTAATGAGGTAATCGTAAAGCGGGGCACAACTGTATTGTTGTTGTAGTAGAGCCTTTGTTCTTAAACTGAACTGTAAAATGGTGACTGAAAAATCTCTTGTTGTTTTACCCAGTAAAATCACTCTTAATATATTATCTCACTCATCCATGATGACCATTGCATCCTGCTTATAATAACGCATCACTCTCATAGATGTTAAGTGATAGGCCTGTCCTTGTTCACAGACACCCTCCCACCTCAAACAGTTAATTACCAGCAATAAAATAGGTCACATAACAGAGATACAAAAACTGAGATGAGAACCTGTGATCCATTTCGATACTAGTCTCACAGCACTGAAACAGTAACATACTTTCTATGGCTACATACACACAACTTTATATAATAAGTCTTAAGATTCCTAGGGCTTGGAAGATTTTCAGGTTGAAGATGAGCTGCCAACATCTTCTACAACTGCAATGCTTATGCAAGTAGTAAGATCCCACATTACTACACTAATGGGGCTTTTTGCTCAGTGGAAGTCCAATGGGGTACTGGACAACATCTTTATTTACATATGATTCAAACAAACTAAACTAATTACTTCTATTGTTTTAAAAAAGAACATCAGAATGTTACAAGATAACTCACTTGCAACTGCCCTCTCTCTCTCTCTCTCTCTCTCTCTCTCTCTCTCTCTCTCTC